TCAAATGAACAATTTTTATCAATATGGAGAAGATGGATTGTTTATATTCAAAATAAGCATAGAATGGTGGAATATAATTTAGGTTTTTAGATAAAAACTTTTTTATATATATATATATATATATTTCACCTACTTATGTAGAATAATACTTTGTGGAGTTAGGGATATTAATACTAGTTTACTTTTAGTTGAATAGTATCCTGGGATTAGGTTTGGGAAGTCCGGGTGGGGGGTGGGGGGTAGGGGTTATTACATTGTGATGTATCTGTGATGTGCTTTTTTTTATGATGAAAATAATAAAAAATTTATAAAAAAAAATAAAAATCCAAAAAGATCTCGACAGATTTGAACAATGGGCCCTATTCAACAAAATAATATTTAATATGGAGAAAAGCAAGGTTTTATACCTGGACAAGAAAAACCAAAGGTACAAGTACAAATTAGGCAAAACCTGGCTCAAAAATAATAACTATGAGAGGGACCTTGAAGTCCTAGTGGACGATTACTTAAGCATGAGTTAGCATGTTACTATATACTTTATAAAGCCTTAGTAAGGCCACATCTGGAATACTGCATCCAGTTTTGGTCATCACATTACAAAAAAGATGTTGACACTTTGGAAAAAGTGCAAAGAAGAGCAACTAAGATGATTAAAGGCCTGGAGACTGAAACATATGAAGAATGGTTGCAAGATTTGGGAATGGCCAGTCTAGAGAAAAGGACTAGGGGGGACATGATAACAGTATTCCAGTATTTGAGAGGCTGCCACAAAAAGGAGGGGGTCCATTTATTTTCCAAAGCACCAGAAGGCAGGACAAGAAACAATGGGTGGAAACTAATCAAGGAGAGAAGCAACCTGGAATTAAGGAGAAACTTCTAAACAGTGAGGACAATTAACCAGTGGGACAGCTTGCCTTCGGATGTTGTGAATGCTTCATCAATTGAGGTTTTTAAGAAGAGACTGGATAGCCACTTGTCTGAAATGATATAGGGTCTGCTGCTTGAGAAGGGGGCTAGACTAGAAGACCTCCAAGGTCCCTTCCAACTTGATTCTGATTCTGATTTTGATTCTGACTGCCAGCTGGTGTTTGTGGATCCTGGTTTTCAAATGATGTGATGTTTGTCCCACATAGAATTAGTTGCTTTTGTAAATTTCATTGTTACTTTCATCCTTCTGTATCTCGTCTTTGGTTCTAGATAATTCCTGGGGGATGTGGCTATGGGTTTGTGGGCTATTCTTATTCCTAGAAGTTGGAGAATTCTGGCTGTCATTTCTGACACTCCTTTTGTGTATGGTAGGGTTAGTTTGTGTGTAGTGGTTGGCTGTGTGGTTTGTTGTGGTTTGGGTGCTGTGTGGTAGAATACAAAGTTTTTTGGATAGCTGTTGCAAAGAAAGACATCAAACAGCCATTTCTCTTCCACTTTACTTAGTGCTGCAATGCTGCAGTGTGTCCTGGCCCTTCTGAAGAGGGTCTGAATGCAGCTTCTTTTGTATGGGGTGGGGTGGTTGCTTGCAAAGCTGAGGATCTGGTCTATATGTGTGGGTTTGTGGTAGATGCATGATTCCAGTTCTCTGTTATCTTGTCTTCTTATGTTGATCTCAAGGAATGGGAGTCTTTTGTCTGTTTCCTTAAGTCAGTTGAAAACCAGGATCCACAAACACCAGCTGGCAGTCAAATGGCACGATCCCAAATCCCTAATCATTACCCACACTGATACTGAATAGCACCAATTCGATTGAAGCAATACAAGAATCATCAGCCATGCTACCACCTGCCACACAAATGTGTTTATTGAAGCTTGGCGCTCCACAAGCCATTCCATCAACAGACACATTGAACTACAACCGGCCTACAAACCCTGAAAATTCAAATCAACTGCACAACCAATCAGCCACAGCACAACCCTCAACCAACCCACAATTTGCCCAACCAGCATTTCACCTCCCAATGATCCTTACCTGATGTGACCTCCCATCACAAGAGCCATCACAAGACCTTCACTTGATGTGACCCATACCTGTTCCATCAAAAGACCCATCATTAGACCCTCATCTGAGGTGACCCTCCCATCACAAGACTTACTGACCACATGAAGCCTTTATAAGCAGAAGAATGCCAACACTGACATTCCCTAAATTCTGCTGAAGATGTTCCCTATCCTGGAAACAAAATGTTTGGAAACTAACCCACAAGCTCGGAGAATGAACTTCCATTCTTATCTTAAATTTCTTGTCATCAGTATTAAAAGTAAAATCTTCAAAACTCCTTAAATAATATTACCCCAGGCATAATTATCCTTTCAACATCTTTAAGGATGTCTTCAAATCTCTCAGGTTTTTCAGGAGCAAATTCTGGAATGAGGGCTCTTAAGTAACCTGGCTCTACATCAGGATAGACCTGTCGCTCCTCTATCTTCTCAATGTAATCTGCAATGTAATCCACCATTTCTTTTCCTCTTTTCCGAAACTCTGTGGCATCCATTTCTGGATTTCAAGCAACCTAAAAGAAACACATTGACAATTTGGAAAAATGCACATGTATATTTGTCTTATCTTCTTTATATATGAAACCAATTGCAAACCAACAGCCAATGTTTAGATAGGATTATGTCTTTTACATTATCCAAAAGACAGAAACTTACAGGATTGTGTCCAATGTTTCCATCTCTTAAAAAAAAAAAAGCAGACAAATAGTGAGGGAGAGCTCGTCATTAAAAATGGAGAGCCTGTCATATGAAAGCTTGTGCTGTTTGGGCTACAAGTACTTTTAGATATGGAGGTAATAAGTTGTTATTGTTGTTATTATTATTTAGATTTGTTATAGACACTGAACTCCAAAAGTCTCTAGCATGAGAAGCAAGGAAAACAGCACAATACAGTTTATAAGCAGTGTAATACTAACATCAAATAAACTTTCTGCTCCTTTCTGGTCAGGAAATCTGAAAATGTTAATATGCGGATCTTTTTTCTAAACCAGAAATATATAGCACTTCCCAGGTTAGGACTGCACTGAAGTTTATTCTACCAGAGCTGCTGACTCATCCTGATTATGCACAATATGTACACCAGTATATATCTGCTTACCCTTGCAAAGAGCAAGAAGTTTATCATATCTTAATCTTAATAGGCTTTGCTTATTTACCCCTAGGACAAGGCCAGGCAAAGAACAAGGAGTGCCTTGTTTATCCCAGGTGGCTCTAGCCAAGGATGGAAGGGACATACCTACCTGCCCAAGTGATTCATATAAAGGACTAGACAAGTCAATTGATGGAGTGTGCTGCTAAATACTCAAATATATTTCTTTTTTCAACTATTATATGAAAATATAGAATTTGATTAACCTATGGAAAGAGCTATAGCAATACAAATCTCTTTCTCACTAATTTAGGGCCACCACCACCACTACATAGTAGGAAAACAATGGAAAACAGAACACAGGAAATTAAAAACATTTAATGCAATAGAAATATCAGGCACAAGTAACCAGGAACTGGAGTTGAGTTCAAAGCACTAAAAGTTTATTATATGCTACCTATACACAAAATCTGGTTGACTAACGGTCAAGGGAAATTGGTACTAGATAAGAGTAGATGGAATTCATAGGGGGCCTGGACTTAGGTCTCTTGTGGGAGTAAGCGACTCCAAATTGATGATACATTTGACCCTACCTTTGGGCTCTGCCTGGTCATCTCCTACAATAACCATATAAGCTTTATTTATCCATACTTATTAATTTTGATGGATGAAAAGTTTCTTAAAATAATATGCAAAAGTTGCAAAACATTAAGTCTAATTACAGTGTAGCAAAAATGTAGATTACATTCTGACTCTTAATGTCACTCAGATGATATTGTCCTCCTGAAAGCATTATGCATTTAATAAATTTGCATGGTGGAAACTTACATGCACACAACAAAGTGTACATTGTTAGGCTTCCATATAAATTAGGATCATGATAATGCAAATTGCATTTATTTATTTTCTCTCTCCAAACACTGCATGTTCACTGTACTAAATATATAATCACTGCAGAAAACAGCAGTGTTAACAAGAGATGGAGATATTATTCAGAACATTAACATAATTGTCATTTAGTGTGTAATTATTCCTGACACAGATCATTCTCTTACCTGAGAATTGTGGGAATTTAAAGCAACTTTTGCTCACCAGAAACATGGCAGTTAGTACTGATCAAGCTAATATTGATTCAATAACCCCCTACTAAAGCTCTAGTAGCCATTTGATATTCCAGAGTTTTGCTATGTTGCAAAAAATAATGCAGTGATAACCATATCCAAAAGAAAAAATATTTTAAAAATCTGTGATTATTGCTTTAGTGAAAAAAGTAAGAGTGAAAGTAATTAAATAGTAATTCAAAATTCAAAGTAATTGATAAATCTGTTCTCAAATTTGAGATACTGTCTCCCACTAGAGGTCTCTGAGAAGGAATGAGGATAAAATTATCAGCACCACAACAATCTATAAATTCTGGGCAGTTCAAGTAGTGCAATATAGATATGTTTTGTGTAAGTGAAAAAGATAGATATTTACCTTTAAAGTCTTCTGATGTTGCTATATATCTACTTCTTGCCAGTCTTATTTTTCTACAAAAACACCTCTAAAAATGATGCATTTACTGTAAAGTGTGACCTACAACATAAACATAATTGGACAGAATACATCAGTGCTTTTTTTCTTTAAAAAAAAAAAAGGTGCCGGAACTCACACATGTCATACAACCCACCTTGTCTACCCTATAAGGTTCCATCCAAAAAAGGTGCTGGAACTCCGTTCTGGGCGTTCTATGAAAAAAAAAAGCCCTGGAATACATTAATATAAATGAAGGCACAATATAGGCCTTGGGTGCAGTTGGGTTCCTTAAGATGTGCAAAGGCTTATGAACCTCAGTTCATCTCCAGTGAATTAATTCCTCACAGAAATAGAGAACCAAGCTTTTTTAAAAGCAAAGTCACTGCATTTAACAAACAAATGATCCGTATTCATAGTGTCTATATATAAAAAAATCCACTCATGTGATAACGATATAGAACTCTGAAATTGAAATCTTCTCTAATGAATTGTTGTGGTGAAATGACCATAACACACAAAAAAATCCCTGGAGTGTAGATTAAAAAGGGCTACCAAAAAAAAAAAAAACATCTTAGAAGCAGACAAACTACTTTTATACTGTTATCAAGAAAATTACTATACATGGACAATTGTTATTTAGGTTAAAACTCAATTCAAGACTTTTTCTTATTATATAATGTGTAAGAGAATTGATTTTGGTCACAGACATAAGACTAGCAAGTAATGAAGTGCACTGAAATGGCCAGAAATTTTGTTCCATTTCACCACCATCATCACTGACATGCACACATGTCCAAGATATGCAAGTTTCAAAGACATTTATAGGCTAACTATCCAAAATTATTATAATTATTCATATCTTTCTCACTTTTTGTGAAGATGTCTAAAATAGTTTTTCTGTGTAGCATTATTTGTTAATTTATTTTCATTATTTTAAGAACTACACAAAACACTGAATTAATAAGTTAATAGGAGAGGTATCTAAATATTCTCATCAAAACAATTTAAAGGAAGTAACTTGACTTGCAGACTGAAAGTTCTATTTAGGAAAAGAGCATTTCTACTGAAATTAGATAGAACAGAAGTAAATACACTAGCATCCTAAATGATTAAGGCAATCAATTGCTATACATTAAATATTTTGGAAAAGCAGCTGCTAATATAATTATGACTACAAATATGATTGATGTTCGTATTAAAGAAATTTCAGTTCCATTATTTCATTATTATACAAAGAATACAACAGTACAGCCTCTGTTGGAGGATCTCATCAACCACTTTCTGATCTGTTTCCAACCTTATAAATATCTAATGAATTTTTCATTACATTTTCCAAACCCTTATAAAAATAATTAAAAGGATGAGATAATATGGCTTTCTGATATTACTATAACTACTATTTCAGGAATACTTAAAAAATATTAATCACCTCCTTACTTGCAGAACAAGGAAGAGGAAGAAAGTTTTTTTTAATTGGAAATCTACCGCATAACCACATTTAATAGTTTTGTAATTAAACGAGCCTCAACAGGAACAAAACAGACTTAGCTGATATATTAGGATAGAACAAGAGAAAGAACATATCTATTAAAAATTGATTTTAATAAAAATTTCAGAATAATGAATATTATTCTCATTTTTGTAATTAAAATGTTTACATTAATTTTAGAAAACAATTTGCACACTTGTTTGTGCTTTAAAGTAATAAAATGCCAGTAGTGCTACTAATACTAGTAAATTTTAAATTTTCTTCTTTCATTTTAAAGTTTTTAATTTATCTGAGAATGTGTTCTGCTTAAGTTCCTTTAGGTTGAGATATTTAGGTTAAGCTTAAGATCAGGTTTAATTACTGAGAGCATAAAGCAAATAATTAAGCAGTTATTTTTACCATTCTATGAATCTCCAGTATGGCTAAAGCATGATTAAGAGTATATTTGTTACTATTATGTGTAAAGTTGGTTCATTGTATGTATTTTTAACTCTGAAGTACTATATTAAAGCTTAATTTTTCTATACTATACAGTTACTAAACAATTTTTGCAATGTACAGAAAATCAGTATATTTTGAAATACTAGCCTATTTCTTCCTCAGATATAAACATCTTACAATATATCAAAAAACTCAAGCAGAACAATAGAATACTAACACTGGTATATTGATTAACTGAATCCTCACTGAAATACTGCTATCGGGGAGGTATTTTTCATCAGGATCCAGGCTGGTGATGATTACATTAAGATAATTTCAATAACTAAGTTTAAATGGTAAAGACTTTTACTTACTGTTTGAGAGATTTTGTTTTCCCTGTTTCCCCAGCTGCTTTCTTTGTGACAGTTATAAAAAGAGGATGTTCTTGTCCATTTATATTGAGAGTAAGTAGTTTCCATGAACCAATCAGAGAATGCTTTGCAGTTTAATATTCTGAGCATCACGTTTTCTCCCCTATTCTTCATCCATTCATTTGTACTCAACACAAACACTATGCCAAATCCAAAGCAAACAAATATGCCTTCATATTTGCTGAGAAACTCAATGTACTATTCAATTGTCTTTCATTATTGCAGAAGATTCTAAATATACTATTTTAAATGGGCACACAAACATTCATTTAAGAAAATATTTGAGCACAATTAGTGTCCCACACTGTTATATTTGAGCATGTGTAGAACATCTTTTTAAGCATCATGCTGGGCACACATCAAAGGCCTATCTGTAGACACAGGATTAATATAGAGCTGTATCTATTGAAAGCTTTATGAAAACTGTGTTTCATTTATAAATCTACTGGACAAACATGTAAACAAAAAGGAAGCAAAATAGAATGAAACCCAGAAACAGATGTTAGATCATGCCATTTTTTTCAAACAATGCAGATGTGCTTTGCAAAATTA